CCCCCCCCTTTCCACCACCCCTTGCTCCGCGGCTCAAAGCTTTGCCATGGCTTTGCCGCAATGACCATGTTTTGCCTCGTGTTTTTTTCGCACAACTTCTCCGGAACGACGTAAGCTGAGTTGTAAAGTGACGGGAGAGAGAGAGAGCAAACGGTTGCCGACTGAGTTGAGCGATGCCAAGGGTTGGTACCGTTGGAGGTCGGTGGGCAGCCCCCTCCCCCCTTTCTATCGCTTGTTACCCATAGTTGATACTTACCCACTATAGTCTTGTCTCTCAATCTCGCCCTTTGGGACACCACCTCAGCCTCAGACGCACCACCCCGAGCCAATGATACGTAAATGACCAGCATGTCCTAAAGGAGCAGGAACACATTGTCCGGGTTTCTGACCTTTCTCTCCTTGGGCAGTAATGCTCCGAGGCCCGGGCCAGGCCCGGGCCCGCAGGACATCCGGCGCCGACGGCGCGGCGCCCCCCGAGTCCCCGGAGGCTCCACCCACGACCTCTCTCCGCCCTTCCGCCCCGGCCAGGCGGCAGGCGCCCGCAGACCTGGCCCTGGCGCCTCAGAGTCCGCGCGCCGGCCGCGGTCCACAAGCCTCGTACAGTGCACGCTGTGTAAGCACACCCACCCCGCAGCAGTGCCCCTACAAGGCCCCCTTGCTCCAGGTGGACGGCGCGGCGGCCGTGCTGTCGTGGGCGCTGGGGAGCCTCGCCGTGTCCACCACCGGGGCCTACGCGCGGGGTGGCGGCGGGCTGGGGCTGACGCGGGGACCACCCAGGACGCCCCGGGACCATCCGGGACAGAGCGAGAGGAGAGGACCGGCACGGGGTGTTCGCCACGCTCGGGGAGGGGATCATGTTCGTCTGGGATGGGGCTGTTGGGGGGGCTTAGCAAGTGTATCACTGTTTACTGCTGTGACTCCCCTTCCCCCTCCCTTCCCCCACCTCCTCTCATGATGAGCGTCATGTCGACTTGTCTAATCTCCCCCAATGTCTGGCTACCGATGCCGATGGCCGACCTCCCAGGAGCGCTGGCTGGCGGCTGGCGCACCGGCCGCGGTCCAGGCGGGGCAGAGGGAAGTCGGAGGGGGAATGCCCCCGCGGCCCCCGCCGCCGCCGCCGCCCTTGCCCCGCCCACCCTCTGCCCGGGCAGGCAGGCGCCAGCCAGAGGCGCCAGCAACGCGGGCCACGCGGACGACATCAGCAGCATCACTAAAACCGAAGGGAACCGTCCACATTTTCCAACAGATGTCAAAGGAAACTCGTTCTCTTACGCCCTTTTTCAATCGGAGAGTTTTAAAGTCAATGCGCCGTAACGCCTTGTCGGCTATGGATATGGGCCGGGCCGATTGGTCATCAGGGAGACACACGGTAGCGGCACCGATTAGGGGGAGGGGGGAGTGGTCCAGGGCCACCCAAGCTTCCCGCCCGCTTCGTCCACCTCATGGGATGCCCCCCCTCCCCCCTCCATTCCAATTCCAATCGTGATGTTCGACACTTTAGGATAGAGTGGTCACCGTCTGCGTGGTCGAAGCCGTCCTGCAGTCCAGTCCTCCCCCTATCCACTCCCGGCCTCCAGGAGATGTCACCAACTCCACTACTTCATTGTATGTGGACGATTTCTCTTCCCACCCGCCCCCTTTACAGTACCCCAGGTACATGGGGTGAAAAAGTCATCGTCCGGATGAATGGCAGCAAGCGAGCTCATACGATCCTTTGGGATTTCGCCACCTCCGCTGGACCTATCGGTACAAATTGCCTACCTACCCGAGGGGGTGATTTGGGCCGACAGGGGCGATCGCGTTCGCCCCCCCACACCCCTCAAAAAAATCGCGCATGACATCCTGCTGACACGCCGGTGGGCGCCAGGACGCTTCGGCTGACGGCTTTTGTCCTGCAGACGTCCTGCTGATGATGCCCCCTGGCCCTGGTTAGGTCCAAAACTGACACCCTGCTGACGTCCTTGACGCCCCGGTGTACGTACCCTTGGTCATACCGAGGGGTGCCCAACTCGAAAAAATCGTGTACACCTGATTACCAAAAAGTGATGATTACCAAGGATTACTAGAGATTACCGAAGATTACCGAGGATTACCTATGATTACCAAGGGTTTCCGAAGATTACCACTGACAAAAGATTACCAGAGGTTACCAAAGATTGCCATTGATTACCACAGATTACCAGTGATTACCAAAGATTACCGGTGATTACCAAAGATTACCAGTGATTTCCTAAGATTACCAGGAATTTCCTTGCTGGATTACTTAGCGATTACCAAAGATTACCTGGTGATTACCAACGATTACCTGGTGATTACCAACGATTACCTATTACCAAAGATTACCTAGCGATTACCATGAATTACCGGCGATTACCAGGGATTACCTGGTGATTACCAACGATTACCTGGTGATTACCAAAGATTACCTAGCGATTACCATGAATTACCGGCGATTACCAGGGATTACCGGTGATTACTTAGGATTACAGGCGATTACCAAGGATTACCGGCGATTACCAAGGATTACAGGCGATTACCAATGATTACCAGGGATTACCCACTCTGTGTACACCTGATTACCTCAGTTGGGCACCCCTCGGGTCATACCAAGTGGCTGATTCACGCCGCGCACTTTCGTAGTTATACTGTACCGCATGCACGCGTGCGGGCGGGTTTGCCTATGTT